AAATATTATCTTACTAAAATTTCAAACTAAAAAATTTTTAAACATTCTGTAGAAAATGAGGAAAAATATTATCTCACGATTAAGAAAATGCACTTAAAATGAAAAAAATGAAAAACAGTTTAATAGTTTAACAGTTTAAATATTACGTAGAAAACGAAGAAAACTATTATTTCACGATACCACGTTAAAATTGAGAAGATTTTCATTAGAAGAATCGAGTGCATCAATTTTTCATTCAATCTAAATCTTTCTCTCTTGAACATCGCAACAACTGACAGAGTTTGACCGAAACCAATTCAGACACCCGGTACACAGAACGAACAACTAACAGCAACAATAATTCCCGAAAAACCCAAGCGAGCAAATCAACAAAATTACCTCATATCTCTCACCGCCACCCTTGCAAAACACCGCAAACATCCTTCCCCCGGACGAGAAAAGAAAAAACAGGTCAATTTTTCTCCAGACTTTACTCGAGAGGCAGAACCGTCTCGTAAAGATCCGTGAAAGTTCCACAGCGGTGTTTCGCTGGTAAGGTAACTCGCTCGTATTTTCTTTTCTCTTTTAATGTCTCTTTTTCCTTCTTATTTATTTTTTCTTTTTTTTTTTTTTTTTTTCATCGAGGATTTATCACGACGCGACACGATCCTTGGCCGTGCCTCTGTCTCTCCTTTAAGGAGAACGCGCCGGCCAGTGTTCGCGCAAGCGAGCGAACGCGCGTTTCCAGTAATTCTTTAATGAACGACGAACGGATGACATTCCGCCGCTTCATCGAAAGTCTCGAGAGGATATCAGATTAGAATCAGTGGAACCGTCCGAACCGGGGAATTTATCTGCGGCCAGGAGAGAAATAATCAGCGGGATTGCGGGTCGAACGCAGGTATAACTCGGTGTAATTTCAAGAGGCGCGTTTGTTCGAAAAACGCGCGCGCGAATGCTTACCCTCGGACGACGATCCTCGAGGTTCCGAGGGGAACGACAACTATATTTCAAGCGAAACGCAGCGTATACCGATGGCTACACGCCAACCTCGAGGAATGTTTTAACACCTCGCTATGAAATCGAGATAACGAAGGCTGCGCTTCAGACTATCCTTGTTTTTTTGGTGTTATTCAGGAACAGCGATGAGCAGTGTCCTCTTGAAAATTTAGTAATTTGTGAATGTGTGCAACTGGATCCTTGGGAAACCTGATTTGTTTGTTTAAACATTGTGGATTTATTGTAGGAGGGTATTGCTTGTTTTTAATACACTTAAGTAACAATGAATACATTGTTCTTTTATTATTACTAACATTGTTTCATAGACTCGTGAATCTTTTTGTAAAATTATTATTAATTTGGAAAATTGTTTTATAGATTTTTCACATGTCTTTTAGAAAATTATTTCACAGAATTTTCTCAGTCTCTTTCAAAATTATTTCAGAGACTTTTCACAGTCTCTTCTAAAATTATTTCACAGACTTTTCTCAGTCTTTTTCAAAATAATTTCGCAAACTTTTCACAGTCTCTTTCAAAATTATTTCAGAGACTTTTCACAGTCTCTTCTAAAATTATTTCACAGACTTTTCTCAGTCTTTTTCAAAATTATTTCACAGACTTTTCACAGTCTCTTCTAAAATTATTTCACAGACTTTTCTCAGTCTTTTTCAAAATAATTTCGCAAACTTTTCACAGTCTCTTTCAAAATTATTTCAGAGACTTTTCACAGTCTCTTCTAAAATTATTTCACAGACTTTTCTCAGTCTTTTTCAAAATAATTTCGCAAACTTTTCACAGCCTCTTTCAAAATTATTTCAGAGACTTTTCACAGTCTTTCTTAATATTATTTCACAGATACACATATCGTGTTAAACTCAAAGACTGTTCACTTTAGCTCTTCTAAATTCGGTCGCACAGAAAACTTTGCTCATCACTGCTCTACAATATACAAAGCGACACGTTTCTCTTTACACCTACCTAAGTACATACAATCAGACGAAAGAACAGGAGATTTTAATGAGTGAACAGGAAGGAAATATTTAGCGGTGTGAAGAATTCGTACAGTGGATGGAAAATGGAAAAATACGATATCGTATAATACATACGTGAAAGCCGTTTCAGTTTAACGATAGGAGTTAAAGAATGAACACTAGAGAATCACAAGCAGCTATCGTTAAAGAACATCTAGAGTGAAACGGTTTTATAGTACCTATGAGGCGCAAGAATATCTTGAAAATTCTACGATTACAAGTTTAGTTCCATCTATATTAACTAATTCGCAGCTTTCACATATTTCAACACGGTACTCATAAAACACGTCAAGAGTGTAATTTTATTCTTGATAGTATCAGTATTTACTGTCTTATCACGACAATTATGGCCATTCTAGGAATTCCTTCGTGACTTCGAGTCATGAAATTTCCTAGAAAAATACTAAAACGTTCCAAAGAGAAAGAAAAATCGTAAAATTTCCTTTGATTTTTCGCCATTTTTTCCATAAAAAAAATTCTTCTTCAAACCATTTAAATTACCACCGTAACTGTTTTACATGGATCACCCTGTGTTTACTGACGTTATCACTATTAAGATATCGCGATAATTTTTCCCAATGCAAACAAATTACTTACACGAACAAACCGACAAAGTTCTCATCAAAATTATCTCACCGTAGCGTCAGAAATCGTTTATTAATTTCCTTCCATAAATTCATTTTCCAATTAAAGATAAGTTCGCGACACGACTCGATTATCCTCAATGCTGTCGCTAATATTTGTCAAAAAGTTGAACACTTCCTTCGAAGCTGAAGTAATTTCAGAATCAATGAAACTTCGTCGAAAGCATTGAGATTTCGCGGAAAGGAGAGAGGAGACAGCAGGTGTAACATGGATCGGCCGATAAATCGGCGCGGCAAAAAGGGAAAAAAAGAAAAGATGCGGATACCGTAACGCGGGCCAGATATTTATTGAGTAAAAAGCAAACGGGGGCGCACACCTCGCGGCGCGCTCAGAATTCCGTTTCCATTTTGCCGGATTAGATCACGCCGTGTGAAATAACGCGGAGGATCGAGCAAGAAACGGGAATGCGCGCCCCTTTCGAAATGGGGCCCGTCTAGCCGCATCTTTCTCTTTCTCTCTTTCTCCTCGCCACCATTTGAAAACGAACGAGACGAATCGGCACGACTTACTTCGACTGGCCAGGAAGATCTCGATGGCGACGTTCTGGAGGAGATAGCGGCGCGAAAAAATCGCGCGCACCTCGGAGAAGTACCATTTTCCGTGCAGATGATCGCAGTACTTGAGAACCTGGAAACAGAGAAAAGGGAAATACTTTTAGTGGTTTCTATGTACAGGGTGCTTCAAAATATGCGAATTTTTTTTTACAGAAATTTTAGCGTATTGGTAAATGTATTTCGTGTTTGAAGAGCTTTCACTTGAACGTAGAAAATTATTTCTTGTAATTTTCATGTGAATATAGTGGTAAATTTAATACAGGCCGTTTCAAAAGAATGTTAACTCTGGCATGGAAGTAATTTTTTTCAGTGAAATAGGAGTGATAATACAATGTACCGTGTCAATAAGGATATTTTGTTATTAAAGTAATTTCAGTGTAACAAAATGATAAATCTAATACAGGGCGTTTCAAAATAATGTTAAATTTGTATGGAAGTAATTTTTTTTCAAAGAAATGGAGGTGATAATACAATGTACCGTGTTAATAAGGATATTTTGTTATTAAAGTAATTTCAGTGTAACAAAATGATAAATCTAATACAGGGCGTTTCAAAATAATGTTAAATTTGTATGGAAGTAATTTTTTTTCAAAGAAATGGAGGTAATAATACAGTGTACCGTGTTAATAAGGATATTTTGTTATTAAAGTAATTTCTATCTAACAAAATGATAAATCTAATACAGGGCGTTTCAAAATAATGTTAACTCTTGCATAGAAGTAATTTTTTTCAGAGAAATAGAAGAGATAATACAGTGTACCGTGTCAATAAGGATATTTTGTTATTAAAGTAATTTCTATCCAACAAAATTTGAAATCTAATACAGGACGTTTCAAAATAACGCTAACTCTTGTATGAAAATAATTTTTTTCAAATAAATGGAAGTGATAATACAATGTACTGTGTTAATAAGGATATTTTGTTATTAAAGTAGTTTCTATCTAACAGAATTCTAAATCTAATACAGGGCGTTTCAAAAAAATGTTAATTCTTGTATGAAAATAATTTTTTTCAAATAAATGGAGGTGATAATACAATGTACCGTGTTAATAAGGATATTTTGTTATTAAAGTAGTTTCTATCTAACAGAATTCTAAATCTAATACAGGGCGTTTCAAAATAATGTTAACTCTTGTACGAAAGTAACTTTTTCAGAGAAATGAAACTGATAATGCAATGTTTATCATTACAGAGTTTCCTTTTGAAAGCATAAAAATTACCTTTATTAATTTCTACCTAAGTAGCGATAAATTTAATACAGGGTGCTTCAAAAGAAATGGTAACTCTCATGTGGAAGTAACTTTTCGAAAGAAGTAAAGCCTCTATTGTCAACATATTCTTGGAACTTTCGAAAGAAAATACATTGCACACAGAAATTCTTCATATTCTTTCTAAGCACCCTGTACATAACCAGCTTTCTCGTATCGTTAATTACCTTTGTTGTAGAGTTACTTGTAACATAAGAACTGTACGAGTTTTTAGATTATGTTTTCGATAATAAGAACAGTCCGGAAAGCAACTGAAAAGGGCGCGTGGAGGTAGGAAAAGGATGTTACCACAAATCTGCAATCTTTCCGCGAAACACGAGGCTAACTACGAATTGAACCGATGAAGAAAGTTTGATATTAAGCGCATAAAATTCACCGTATAAATGTTTGCAATTGAGATAAGCGAAGTTTTCCTTGGAAAAAAAAAAACAGAGAAATATTTCGCAAAGTATGATACTTGCATTGCAAAAAAAAAAAAAAAACTTTTCAGTCGATAAGATAAATGCAGTAATGGCGAAATTGTGAGGCAATTAAATACATAAATGTATGTTCTACCTTGCCTTCGCTGATAATACGTAATTAAGTGCGAATTTGACGGTGAAACTGTATATAGTTTCGAACGCAAGAGAAAGATTAAATTATAACGACACGTCAGGATAGATAATTATGAAGCAAGAATGCGAAATTGACTGATATTTCGTGTGTCGAAAAAAAAGCTTACTTTTGCACGTCTCGTTGATCATTAATCGCGATAAAAAAATATTTCGCGTCGAAATGTAGGAAACGTTGCGATGTTCTTCGCTTTTCGAAAATATCCCCCCTGTCCAGTGTACATTAATGAAGATACGAAAAGTGAAACGAAAGACATCTTGGAAATTGAACGAAACGGCGATAAATAATTTCCGACGTATCCGTGTTGCAATTCGTTAGGAAGATAATCAGTATAATATTCATATTCTCTGATATCCTCCTCTTCTCACATTCATTTTACATACAAAATCCTCGTTGCAGGAAACCATCCTTCCTGAAGCCACCTCAACCGCAAATCCGCAATACCAATTCAAATAAATTATATCTTTCTAGGATTTCTCTTCCATGTGCTCGGGAAAGAAGCATTCGAAGCTTAGAAATCGAGACTTGCGTTGTAAGGAAAGCCAATTCTCACTTGGGAATGTTCCTGTCGCGTTAAACAAACTTTTTTGATACTTTTTTTTTTTTTTGAGAATCCTCCGTTTGGAAAGGTCGAAATGCCAATGAAAAAGATGACGACAGACTATTTAAAATTATTCGTGCATTATCGAACATATCTGTCAATTTATTCGAAGAAGTTTTCAAAATTATCAACACCAATCGCCGCAAAAATTACATTCTACTTGTCATCTGTAAACCACCATCAAAGTTCACGAAAAAATATTACGCCCATATTACCATAAATATTTTTCAAACTACTCAAATGCTACTCAAAACTATCAACCTGTAGTCAGAAAAATTCTACATTACTTATCATCTGCAAATCATTACCAAAATCCAGAAAAAAGTTTCCTTAAAAATTATTCCTACATTAGCAAAAATATGTTTCAACTTACTCGAAGTGCTAATACAAAGAAAGGTCTCCAAATGTTTAACCATTTATCGCAAAAATTCCATGCCACTTTTCATTACAAACCATTACCAAAATTTTCAAAAATAATTATTCCTGCGTTACAACAAATATTATTCAAACTGCTTCAATACTAATTAACCCTTTAACCTGCAACAACCTGTCAAAGTCGTGGCAGAGATTCTGGCCAAGATGTGAGAAAAATTCGTTGTAATTCTAACTGTCGTTTGAATTTGTAAGATCAAGGATTCCTAAATGTAATTAATCTGTAACAGATTAGCTTTTGTTGCCTGATACAGTACTGAAACATTAAATGGCTGACGCTTACATGCACAGTCAGAAAAGAAATCATAGGTTAAGGGGTTAAAAGAAAAGTCACAAAAGTATCAATCAATCACCACAAGAATTCCATTCTACTTCTCACCTACCAACCACCACCAAAGTCCACAAAGAATCATTCCTAAAATTATGCCTACATTACCAAAAATATCTGTCAACCTACTTAAAATAGGTACTAATTAAAAGAGTGGTCCAAAAATTACCAATCAATCACCACAAAAGTTCCATTCTACCTCTCACCTACCAACCACCACCAAAGTCCACAAAGAATCATTTCTAAAATTATACCAACAACATCTTTCAACCCACTCCAGCCCAATTTAAAACAAAAACCAGAAAACACTCAGATCAATCGTCACAAAATCTCCGTCCCAAAGCAATCCTCCCCAAAACCCGGTTTCCACGGCAAGAATTCTCAATTAACAAATGAACCAACCACAAACCGCGATACCTAGCCTGAAAACAGCTAAAAAAAAAGGAAACCAACAGCCCTGGCCACCGGAAGCTAGTCACTCCTAACATCAAGCCGAAGGAATGATCCACAAGGCAACATCGAAAGAGGGACAAAAGTCGGGGTTGCGATCGCATGGCTGACCGTAAGTATGCACAGGCTGGATGCAGTGAAGTGTGATGTGATATAGTGAGACCGGTGCCGGTCGCAAGATGGCCGTCATGGTAGGAGGAGCCTCCTGCTGAGCTGGGAATCGATCCCAGGACGTTCGCGGGCTTGCGCTCTCGAACGAGTCGTGAACAACTCGTGGGCGAAAAAGGGGGAGGCAGAAAAAGGACGAGGCTTGTCCTGTGGCGGGCCGAACGAGACCGGACAAAGGGAGGAGAGGGCCGAATTTAACAGGAGAGGGCCAAACGGCTAACAGGCCTTTCAATTTTTCCCATTTTAATGAACGCCAGCCACCGCGCCCGACGACGACGACGACGTCCTTACGCGCTGCTGCAAATGAAATTATCCTTGGATATAATCGAACCACCGGTTAACTTCTACGTGTGTCGTAGAGGCAGAGGAAGATCGTATCTGTACGATG